AAGGATGTAGTGGAATCATATGGTACCCCCGAACAACGAAAGATAGAAAAGCTCTCTAGTATTCTTTAGTAGTTTACCGTTTGCCATCGTTTACCGTATAGTTTAATTATTATAATCAGGATTAGCTGATTAGCTCTAGAAGGGGGTTATATCACTGTTCTCTTTTAAGGGATTGCTATAAAGAAACGAGCAAGTTGCCAGAGTGGCCATCAAGGACCCATGTCCCGTCCACATAGGTATCTTCTTTGCTGAGCAACACAGCTTTCTTGACCAATGAACACGTAAAACGAGCTTGTCAAAAATACCAAGAACTTCCGGTAAAGATAGGTAAAGTACCAGGATGTACCAGGTAAAGTACCAATATTATGGGTAAATCAAAGGTCTGCGGAAAGATCTGAGATGCCTCCCAGTGCTGCGTCATAAAGTCGCTCAGCCTGGGGGGACGATATGGTGAATTGGACTTCCCAGGGGTGGTAGGGATGGAATCTGACGGAGCATCACTGGTTGGCACGACATGACGGAGCCTCCATACGACGTCTGGCAGAGGACATGGCAGTCGCTACATCTTTCCATGAGAACTTGCATATGGCAGCAGAACAAAAATCAACTTCTCTCTGTTGTTGCGGGATGATTGGAAGGGCAAGACAGCTAGGAATGCACCAGTGAAGTCTGTTTTGGAGCAGTGGAAGGGGTGCTTTGGCTTGGGATGTTTCTGGTCTTTGTGCCTTTGGGGCCACAGCGCGTTACATGAGCATGATATGATCTGCTGGTCCGCAGACAGTAGTTTCTACACATTTGGATGGTGTTTCGACTTTTTGTATGTTGGTCCTTCCGGGGTGTGCTTCTAGTCACTTGCTGAGCATGCTGTTGCGAGCCTGCGAGCCCACTGGCAACATGTTCCAACTCCCAGTTGGGTACTAGAACTCCGAAAATTTGGGAAATGCAGAGAGCGAAATTGCAGCACCTTACAAACCTGATGGAAACTCAAGGCAATGCAAGTCCCAATGAATATTTGAAACAGATCCACTTCGATTGACTTTGTTTGTTTCTTTAATGGCCCTAAGATGCAAGTTTGAGCCCTTATCCTCGCAGCTCTACCCCCACCTGCAACAAAGCTAAATGAAAGACATGCCATTTACGGCATTTCGCA